AAACTTTAATACCTTCCGGTCAGTAAAAATAAACCAACAAGGGAAAGCGCCAGGGGAACCCCCCCTCCCCAGCGCGCCTTTTTTTTTTAACTGCCCTATAGGAATCAGAATGTCCAAAGTCCACTGCAGGCGTAGTTAAGTTTGCCAAAGTTCCAAGGTGTTTTTCGAGCCTGTAACCTGCTCCTGCCAGAAGCCTCCAGTAGCAAATCCTGTTGCTTTCTCTGGAACCCTCCAGAAAATTAAGCCCGGGGCAAGAAAGGTGCTGGGGTGTCTTCCCATCACCTGGAAAGGTCCAGTTCGGCGGCTTTTCTGTTAGAGGAGGGGGCAGTGTAGACCTGGCAGCTTCAGATGGGCAGCTCACTTCGATTCGGGTCAATTTTCACTCTGATCTTGCCCTAGCTTTGAGTTGCTTCTAAACCTTGGCCTTCAGAAGCTACGTATAAACAACCCCGGGCGTTTTTAAAACAACTATCCTGCTACTCTGGCAGGGCGCTTGAGGAATTTAAATTCTCTTCTTTGGTCTTCTTCGGTGGTAGATTTTAAAGGGTAGAGCTGAAAATCACACCCGCTGTGTCAGGTCCTGTTCTTTTAAAAGGCTGATAAAGGAGGAATAGCCAAGCTGGATTTGTGTGTGTGTGTGGTGGGGGGAGGGTAGATGAAGAACTGACCCCTTTAGGAGGGAAATTAATTAAGTTCCAGGCCTCAGCTGGACCTTGATTTATTTTCAAGGAATAATACTAACTTTTTTTAAAAGTGCTGTCCAAATTCTTTTTTTAGTGCTAAAATTACCATCCATATTTTCAAAATCACAGAAGCAGATTTCACAATCTCCTCTGTCTATAGAATTGCCTCTTTCACTGGTTTTTGAAAGCAGTTTTTTAAAGGGTGGGAGTAGAACTGAGGGTCAGATGGCAGACGGGTGCTTGGCTTTCCTTCCTTTCAGTTATTTGGAAAGCCATCCCAATTCTTTCAGAAAAACAGTGGTAGATGATGGTGTCTTCTGCTCACCGTGAGAGGGAACTTGAGTGGGCTCAGCCCCGAGGTCACTGTCAGCAGAGAGAAATCAAGCTTTTTGTAGTCAACAAAGGGACCATTTAAGGTAGGTTTTCCTGCAGAGCAGAATTAAAGGACTTCCTTAGGGGTGGACTCAGAGTTTTTCTCGAGGTGCTTTTTTTTTTCTTTTACTGTGAGGGACCCCAGTTTATCAAGACACTAAATGATTGATTTTTTAAAAATTGTCTTCAGAGTTGAAGCAATGAAAACTCCTGAGCTTGCTACCACATGGAAGTGTTTATTTTCTTTCAAAAGAATGAAAGACCATACATACTGCTTTTAGAAACCGCGGAAAATTCCTTTTAGCAAAAATAATCACAGCCATAGAGGCTCCGTTTTATAAATGATTTTGGAAAACCCACTTCTAAAAGAATCTCGGTTTGTTTTCCTGAGTGACAGCCGGTAGCCATGACAAAGGTCAAGGTGGGATCCAGCACAGCTCATGTGTAAGGTTCAAGTGGGTCTCTTGGGAGCGCTTGTGGGGAAGGCCAGGGCAGCAGAAAAATCAGACCACTCGGTTAATGTCTGTCAGCACTTGGTCCCACAGAGAAGGCCCCTCTGGAGCTCCGGTAGATAGGGGCTTCAGAGGCAGAGGAGATGTACAGGTTGGATTTAAGGGGAAGCTGGACTTCAAAATAGAGCAGCATCCTAGCTTCATTTTCTCCCTGGCCCCTGTGTGTGCCAGCCTCTACCAAATGCCCTGAAACAGCTCTCACCCAAAATGTTTCTCTACGTTTGGGATTTAAATTACATCTCAGGAGTCTCTTTAGTGGTTAATCCTGTAGGAATTATCTTATTCCCCATGATAAAAACCAGATTACATGAAGCTGTGATGGAGTCCATCCCCAGAGAATAACATCTTCGAGACGCTTCTGGAATTTTGTTAAATCCTCCGCTTTAATCTTCAGAATTATCAAGAGATTTAAATTCATGAATTCTCTTGAAAATAGATTTAAATTGTCCTAACTGGTTTTCCCACCTATCCTCCGCCCCTCTCTGCTCCTACAGGAGAAACCCTTCACAGATGAGAAATTGTGAAGTCTGCTACATGCTATGCTGTATTGGCAGAAGCAGCAACAAAGTTGTTTAGGTGACTTGCAGCCGCTTTTGCAACACTGTAGCAGAGTGGTGTGTTTAGGCCCTGGCACACAGGGGATAAGCATGCCTTCAAAAGGGAGTTCCAAATCCCTGGCTGCCGCAGGATGAAATATGTTTTTTATTTTGGGGGGAAAAAAAGGAACAAATAATTTTCTGGCAGGAAGATTCACGGTCTCTAGCTACGCGTTAAATGCCATCTCAGGTGAACTCTGTGTTCTGCTCGGCAGCCCACTCTGAAACTCTGGAAGATTAAGAAATTTGTAGTAAATGAATTGTAGCTGCAATTTCAACCTATAAAGTTGTTGGAAAATGCCAGTTTCCGATTATGAACAGGCTAGCCAAGAAAAGGGCTGGGAGGTCCTTATAGCATAGAAGAGAGCTGATATTTTGCCCAACTTCCTGATACTTGGAGAACAGAGAAGTTCAACAAAGTATGAGCTATCTTTGGCCAGCAAGTCCCTTCTTGTCTGTTTGGTCTGTGCTAACTGTAAATGTTTGTCTTCCCTACCTATTGTTTATAACTTTTTATTGCAGACGCTGCTTTTTATTTCTGTTTGGAGTTAGATTTTTTTTCCCATTCTTTTTATATCACCTCTCATGGACAGAATCTGTATCAAATTGGAAGACATCTTAGTTTTAAATCTAAAAAGAAAAAAAGAAGTTAGCCTAGTCTAAGTCTGCATGTCACTGGATGAAATAGAGTGTTAAATGTTCCTGGATTTAATTTGTCTCCTTCCCTCCCCACCAAAACTCTTGGGGGATAAATCAAAAAGACAAAGTAGTAATAACTGAGTTCCTGGATGCCCCCTTCCCACATCCTTTGAAAATGGGAGTGATGAAATTTAAACTCCTGATTTTTAGACTTTTGAATTCCAACATCAGCAACCTTTTCTTAGTCAGGCACCATGGCCCTTCCGTGCTGTCTGCATCTCTCCGTGAGGGCCTCCTGGGTTGACCCCCCACTAATGTGGTAAACTGAGGCACGCTGAGACACAACAGGAGGAGGGCCATGACTCAGCATGCCTTTGGGCACTTATGGAACAGGATATTTATTTTAATTTCTTAAGAAATATGGGCCCCAACAGTAAGGCATTCCGTTTGAAAGCCCAATTGTCAACCCAGTACCCCGATGCCCAGCGGGAATAGAGTTGAACTAAAAAAGCCTACATCTCCACAGTCAGATGAGGCTGAGGAAGTGAAGTGTCTTTGTGAGAACATTTCAACACTGTGAGCTAATAGTGCAGGGAGAAGTGAAAATAATAAAAAAAGAAAAGAAAAAGAAATGGGGGAAGATAAAGAGAATAAAAACAGCAGAACTGAGAGGAGCAGAGTTTTGTAGGAGCAGAAAGAAAGGCTAATAACGATCAATTAACTGATCAGGGAGATTTATTGCAATGATGGTCTGTGAAACAAAAGAGTTGTCATATTACCAATCTTAATTAAAGGTCATCAAACACTTGCGGTGGGATATAAAGATCTAATTACAGACGACTTAGAGGATAGGTGTTTTAAAGTCTGCTTGAAGAAAGCATGTCCAACAATTGGAATGTAAGGGTTAAAAACAGAGGCAAGAGGTTCCATCCTTGTGTCACAAAGCAAGCTGGTTAAGACAGATAAAATTAAAGAGCTAACAAGATACTTACCCAATACCCGGAGCAGAGTGTCCTGGTGATGTCCTAGGTTCTGTCCGTCCACTTCTCCGGACAGCTGGGGTCATTTCCTGGCATGTTCTTTAGAGTCCAGGAGGATAGAGCAGCCATAATGAGTAAAAATCACCCGGATAGTCATCTGCAGGACCGCGGACAGCTAAGGGGGCATGACTAAGCACACAGAGAGAACGGCAAGCAAAGGGACTGGACATCGATACCAGATTAGTGAATCTGTGGCATCCTTATTTACATACATACACACAGAAATATTCCTCTAATAAATTATGCAGCAACTAGTATGCAAAAAATAACTGAAAAGAAAAGCAACAGCATATTGAGAAGTGCTCGCTGCTGCCAGCTCGAGGGCACCTGCCTAAGGATGTCCATGTGACCAGGATAAATAACAACACTTTCGCTACGGACTGACAGCGTAGATCGGAAATGATTAGGGGGAAAAAACTGAACTTGAGGCATTTTGATTTGAATTTTATGGACCACTTTGAAATTGGAACACACAAATGTGAGCTTGTAATCGCTGCTGAAGCCAAAGGATGCCAGACTTGGTGGTGTACACCTGTAACCCTGGCCTCACAAGGAAGACAAGAGGATTGTGAGTTCAAGTCCGCTCTAGGCCATCTAGTGAGACCCTCGCTCTAAAACAAAATAAAATGAATCAAATAGCAGCCACACGATGGATAATATTTCGTGAAGTATTTTCAAGACATGTATTTCAGAGTATTTTCGTTTAAAATTGGTGCCTTTATTGGTTTTATGGTTATGAAATATGTTTAACTACCAATTGTCTTCAAAATGTAACAGCCCTTTCCTACTCAGCGACAGTAACAGGATCCCTCGGAACACAGTACATGTTTGGGGCTCACAGGTGTGAAAATGCAGCCTGGTTTCACATTTGGTTTGAGGAGACTAACTAAATTGGAACCCCCTTTGTTCTGAAGTTGTCCCCTTTGTAATCAATAATAAATAAATGGCACATTTCTGGATTGTCTCCTAGACCACTGCTAGTGAGAATCCAATAGAAGCAGAAGAGGTGCCAGAGATCAGCCACAAGTGGTCAGGTTAAGTCCCTCTGGAGTCCCTGGAAGCTGCCCGTGTAGGGACACATCCTGTAACCCAGACCCTCGCAGGGCAGATCAGGGTTCAAGGCCATCCCTTAGACAAAGAGCTTGAGGTCACCCTGGGCTACATGAGACCCTGTCTTGGCAAAAATAGAATAAAATCAGTAGCAAAAGTCAACTTTAAGTTTAACAGAACTAAATGTAAATTGCTAAGTCTAGGCCCTGTTAGACACACCAGTGAAGGTCCGAGCGGGTAAATGATGGGGTTGGAGAGACAGGTCGGTAGGTCTGTTGCAGGGGATCGGCTCACCCCAGCGCCTAGATCAGGTGACTCACATCCGCCTACGATTCCACTTCCAGGGTGTGCTGACGCCTCTGCCCTCCAGTGGCACTACACATATACACACATACAATTAATTCAAAATAATAAATCTTTTTTAAAAGGAGGATTAGATAATAAACTACAATCTGTCTTTCAAACATGAGGTCGTTAGAGATGACTACATTGACAAGAAGCAGCATCTTCTCAGAGTCCCTGTCCTCTTTTGTCTTCCTCCCCCCCCCCCCGCGGGGGGGTGTGGGGCCTCAAGGGCTTTACTGTTTCAATTCATCCCCGCCTTTCTCATCTCCGTCTACACGTTGTGGAATTAACAGACAGCTTTTCTGTTATCGTGCAAATTACAGCGACTCTTCCGAAAACCAGAAAGAGTCATTAAGCGTAGGTTTAATTTGAGACCAACTGTAACGCCAATGGCATAGACGTGTACCTGTGGCAGCACTGATGTCTGCGTTTCTCCCTTGACTGTCCCTAGGTGGTAGCGCTAGGGGACGTTCCGGATGGCACTCTGGTCACCGTCATGGCAGGCAACGATGAAAACTACTCGGCGGAGCTGAGAAACGCTACGGCAGCCATGAAGAACCAAGTGGCAAGATTCAATGACCTCCGGTTTGTCGGTCGGAGTGGTAGAGGTACGTATCTGTCACAAATGAACTCGAAACATATTTACCTGGGAGCGAACCCAGGCTTAACTGGTAGCAGTTTCTTAGTATTGATGCTGCATCAAACTTTAATTTATTTATTTGAAATTTAATACTTCTGCAAGAATCTAATTTTACATTATCATGTTTATAACTAAATTGCCTTAAGACTGACTTGGAATACACAATACATGAATGAATTACTTTTTTGTTTTGTTTTTTTTTTTTTTAGTTTTTCAAGACAGGCTTTTTCTATGCAGCCCTGTAGACCAGGTTGGCCTTGAATTCACAGAGTTCCACCTGCCTCTGCCTCCTGAGTGCTGGGATTAAAGGCATGCTCCACCAGTGCCCGGCATGAATTACGAAAACACTTCTATTTTTCTATAACGAGAAAAGTGAACCTCACATTCTATAATGAGAACTAAGACTGTGTAATGAGAGTTCACTGCCGGGCAACGTGAGCATTGGGAGCCTTCAGGGTATGATACTTGTGGCTTCTACCACAAGCGACAGGGTTTCAGCTGGTCACATCAGTGGTTTGGGGGAATCCTTACCCTAGATGACATAGTTTCAAGCAAGTTTACATTTCTAGGAACACGGAATCATATTAGTTCAACCGAGAACAACATGGCCTTTATGATATGTTTATTCTTTTTGTAGCCTGTTACCGTTCAGTGGGAGGAAAGGGGCTCAGTTAACTTTCAGATGTTAATTTTGTTAGAGACCAGATTATTCAAAGAAGCCATTGCCTTAACTGAGGTGGACTTGCAGTTTTATTGACCTTCACCCTTAACCAACTGTCAAAGCACTGGAGCGGAAGGAGGGAGCTTGTCTGTAGACTTCTCTACTTTTCGGTTATCTCTCAAGTATTATATTTTCTCTTTGTTTCTGGGACCTAAGTCATATTTTACAAACATCAACAAGTAGTGAAAGTCTAAGAGCAATGGACCTGGTTTAAGTTTCTCCTTTGTAATGTGGTGCTCAATAAGCCTGGCCATCAAAGGCATTTCTAGCTGAAAAGACAGGATACATGACTCAGTAACAGTAATAGTTCCTGCATTGGAAAAGAAGTATGAAGGGCTCAGTGATGTCTGCAGCTCAGTGGAGAGCCCTTGTCTCGCGTATGCAAGGCCCTCTGTTCGGTCCCCAGTACCAAGCAAACAAAACAAAACAACCAGACTGGGGAATGTAGAAAAGTGCAGACAAAGGAGTCATCATCACTCCTGTCGACAAAGGCGGTCAGAAAATCTAGAAAATCTGTTCTTAGTGGAAGACGGGAGAGGGTAAGTGTATGCGCATCTGGGCTGTTGTGTTTGCTCACCTAGATGTCCGGGCCATTTCATAATGAAATCACAGCTGGGGGAAAAAACCTATGATGTGATGGAAAATTAATGTTCACACTACTATGCTAATAATAGGGTGATTCAGAGAGGCATCTGTCCTCTTACTGAGAGCCGGTGATGCTGTGAGCGTGTGCCGTTAAGTGGGTTCACTTGTTTTAGCGAAAGTCTGTCTTTGAGCAAATGGAACTCGCATTATGGTTCAGAGGCCTGTGTTTAGCAAACATCACGAAGAGGGTGGGAAGCCAAGAAGAAGTAATGACCCCGCAGCCAGGCCCCCACCTGCCTAGCAGTGATCCTCACCAGGTCTTAGAAGGTGCCCCTTTTAGAAATGGCTAGCTGGGTATCGCGTGGTTGCCAGAGAAAGTGTGATTCTACCCATAGGCATCTAGGTGGGTCTTTTTGTCCTGCTTGGCTATGCGGATTTTGAAGACGGTTTCCTGGCCCATTCCAGTGACGTTCCCATTAGGGAGCCGCACGGTGACTCTCTGACACCCGTCAGGATAGGTTGATGATGGCTAAGAGTGGGTTTTGAAAGCAGCATGCTTCCTTTTGTGGTGCCGAGGGCTGGCCCCCAGCTCTCTTTGGTCATTTCTGTTTTGAGTGGGTGACTAATAGGCACTGGTGTTTACCTGAGGAACGGCGGACTGTTTCCCCAAGGTGTGGGCTGTTTACATTCTGCTACCTGATTCGTGCCAGTGTGCACTTGAGTTTGCATAAACCCCCCAAAAGAAAACAGCAGCACCCACGGCCAGGCTGTCTTCTCATACCCTGGAATGAAAAAAAATTAATCAGATGCAAAATTTAAAAAAAGAGGATTATAATTGATTTGAACAGGCTCTCCTCGCCATGCCTGATAGTAAATCATTAAAACTCAGCAACACTAATTGACCACTTGACCCAGTTACCGTTACTGTATATAGCACTGGTCTTGAGTTTTATGGTTTAAATTTTTTTATGTCAATAACGTAAGACAAGTGAGTTCTTGGGAGACTGAACATGGTTTTGCCTCATAATTTCCTATTGTAGTCACAAAATTTAATTTTATTTTCCTTTTTTGGTGTCACCATCAAAGCCTGGTAGACAACCCCGCCTTGTTCTCTCTCTCTCTCTCTCTCTCTCTCTCTCTCTCTCTCTCCTCCAAGCTCTCTCTCTCTAATTCTAACAATTAGTCCTAATCCCCCTGGCTGAGCTTTGCCTTTTAAAGTTTCATTATGTTTTATTAAGGGATATTAAGACTCGGCTATTTCGTTTTCTGTTTTCTAAAATGCATCTAAAAATATGCCCTTGGCATTCACAGACTGACCCAGAGGTCTGGCTTTCCGTCCGTGCACACGTCTGAAGGGCAGTTTTGAGTTGTCAATGATGGGTTCTCCAGGGAGCCTGGATGCTGGGTGTGGAATGAAAGGTAGAAGATGTATGTAAGGGTGCCCCCTTTCTTTCTCCAGATGCCAGATGCTGGGGGTTGTGACCCTCACCGAGACTGCCAGAGCTACCCAAGGAAGGGTGTTTCTCTGTTCCAAGAAATGGATCTGTCTGGTGCTGGCTGGTGGCCAGCACCACAGCTCCTAACCTCAGGTTCAGCCGGTGACTGGGAGAACCTGCCTGTCTGGCTCCTAAGGCAAGGCTGAGCACAGGCCCCTGTGAGCACTGTTGATTCTTCCCTGGCCCCTGACTCCCCCCTGCTTCCCCTCGCTGTCCACGTAGCTGAGATCTAGTATCTCACCCAGGAGTGTTTCTCTCTTTGGTTTCCATCTGCCTGTTGACTTGCAGTGACTTTCACAAAGAGAGAGAGCTGCTCCCAGTTGGGGGTGAGGGTGAGAAAGAGGAGTCCTGGGAGACCCACTGAAGTTCAGAGATTAGGAAGGCACACAAGTGGTTGTCAGAACAATTGTTTTAATTGCAGGGCCTGAGACTATCAGTCACCTCTAAGTTCAGGGTCAACAAGAACTCTTCTTCCTGAGGTTAAATACTTGAGTGCTTGTCCCTGTCTACAACCCACCAGTAGGTTCCCGTGACCAGAACGCTTCCCACTGAGTGAGGTGGAGACCTTTAAGGAACTTTAGCAAATGCCTCTTCCCTCCTAGAGTATTCTATTAGCTGCCAGTGAATTGATCCACTGGGGAATATAGCTTCAATGATGTCACTGGGAACCAAAGCACACAACTACCAAATGTACCAATAACTGTGTTGCGAGGAGGAAAACCATGGCCAATTTACATTTCTTCTAAGAATGTGATTTTTAATCTTTGGGAGATGTCATAGATAATTCAGAAAATCCTCTGAAAGGCTTTTCCCAAGAACGAAAAAGTCCCTGCATGCACGGATTTCTGTGTGCCATGCTGAAATTTTCAGAGTTTGTTTGTAGATCTTCTGGGATGTGGAGATGCTGAAATGTGCACATTGGGAATGTGGAACACCAGATTAGCACCAAGTTTTATCCTCAGCAGATACCCAGAAAATAAATATACAAGGGAGCCACAAGGCTGACACTTTCTTGTGCCCTTCTGTTGTATTGTTGATGATAGCCACAGACTCAGGACCTGGTTGGTAGGGTTTAGGAACGTACAGAATTTAAAAGGCGAATCCAGACTTTTGGTGAAGCCGTAGGCATATAGGTGAATGTAATCACTTACGCAGGATTGCAGGCTCTCTGTCCTTGACAGTAAGGTCTCTTTCCCAGTGACCGTCCGCCCCGGCTGTAGTGGCTCTCACCGTGAGACCAAGTGTTCTTTGCTCTGGCAGGAAAGGGTTCACTTCTCGGTGGGATCTGCTGTTTACCCTAACCTCCCAGCAGCTCGGAACTTGCTCCGTTTTGAAAACAGTCCTTTGCTGAAGTGAAATTCCTTCCTCCACTCTTGCTGTGGATGTCTTCCCAGACATAATATTTATCCTGTCACAATCTAGGCTCTTTCATATTTGTGTAATGTTGGTTTCTTAAGGCAATCTCATTCCCCTTCTACAGGATTCTGGGTACGACATGGGGATGCTGTCTCTCAGCCCAGTGGAAGGCTGTGGTGGAGGAGACGCATTTGGGGAAGGATAAACTGTACCTACCTCCCAACAGGGAGGGACGTCTTTATGTAGTGGCTTTTACCGGAGAGCTGGTCTGAGTGACTCACAATGTTATCATAGATCCACATCATTCTTTATTTGATCACCAATTCATTTATTAGAAGAAGGAAAAATCCAACTGCCAGCCCCAGAGACGTTTCATGGAGAACATTCTAGGTAAGCAATAGAAACTGGCAGTTGGGTCTCCTAGAGAAAGTAAGTAAAAGGGAATATATAAGTTGCGTTCAAATCAAATGTCCATTTTCTCCCTTTTTCTTTCTGGCTTTCCATTAACATTTGTAGTAGCGCATGTAGTAAGGTCCGTTTCTCTCAGATTTCCATTAGAATTTGTAGTAATACGTGTAGTAAGGTCCGTTTTCTTCTGATTCAGCTGTGAACAAATGGGGTTAAAACAGGCCAAAATAAAAATAAAAACAGACAAAACTAAACAAACCCAGGGCCTCTCAGAGAACAAGCCCCAGCTGGCCCCACCAAATACTTCCTTTCCACGGCAGGTCACAAGTTCCACCCGGAACTGAGGCAGACTCTGCCTGTCCAACCAGGATTTTATATTTGACAGTAAAAGAGTTAGCGACA